GAAACAAACATAACTAATAGTTATAAAAAGGTCTCAAGTCTTTGTGTTATAATGTGGTTGAAAAATATTCTCATCGTGTTCATTATGTTGCGGAAACCATGAACATGACCACTACACAGTTAACAGGGTGGAATTAGCCTTTATAAATGAAAGAAAGTGTGTATGTATCTATGGGGATTGAATGTGAGATGCTTGTGTAAGAGGATATGTACCTTGGCATCACTACAGTAAGACTCCAGTAAATTTCTTGTTTCATCAACACAAGGTTAATGAATTTTCTTGCTGGACATAACTTTACAGCAGTTTCTTATATTCTGGAAATTTTTATGTGAAAAAGATTTGTGAGATACAATTTTATCCTGAAAATACCCAGTATTGGCTTGAGGGCACCCCATATTCTATTCCAAAATATTCCATTGTAGATTCTCATCTAGTTTATACCTGCATTTAATGCATATCATCACAAGGAATTATGTTTAACTCACAATTTTACAGCAGAATATTGATAAAATCAAGGTAGAAAATGATGTGGATGTTCAGAGTGAAGATGATTCCGTTGACGTGAGAAATGATGAGGTTAACACACCATCAGCTTTTCCCATAATGAAGGATGAATGGAAGGTAAGCCTCCTTTTAACCAAATTATTTATGGTTCTTTTCTGTTCGATTGTATGTACAAATGTATCCATATATGCATGCATGTGCTTCTGTTTTAGGGTAACTGTTTTATAAAAACAACATTTCTGCAACATAATAATTGTGTATGTGTATGGCAGTTTTACAGAACTGTATGGATTCGGTGAAAGATGAACCTCATTCAGACAGTGAGACTTGTCGGGATGGAAATCAGGTCATCAGTGTAAAAGCTGAGGATGTCTCAGATATGGAAATTGAAGAACACTATGTGGCAATAACATTTCCAGTTATAAAGGATGAACAGGAGGTATGTCCATTAAAGTGTCGATTGTCCTCATGTGTGTCTGTCCATCCACATGAAAGAAGTCACTTCTGATGAATAAATTTTGAAATTGTATCTAGGTTATGAATGGTATCACAAACAATCTTTAGACATTCGTAGATCCTGCTAATTATTCTACAGATGGAATCAAAGCACTGTGTTTGTTTTTGCAGTACACTCAGGCATTACCCCATTCTTCTGAAGTAAGGAAGAGACAGTTTTATTAGGGTATGCTGAATTACCAGTTGTACTCACAGTAGATCTTATTTAGGATGGATGTATTATGTATTCCCATTTGCCTTCTTCTCGTCGTAAGTGATATCACTGAAAGAATGAAATTTAAATCCACACGCTGAACAACTTTGTTGTTTTTGTGTCATTCATCTTGTCGTTAAGTTTGAAATTTGTGTAATTGCAGAGTGCCAGTCAGTAGGGGTGAGAGGGGCTTTGTGGTGTAGGAAGAGACTTCCCAAAAGTGAAGTGGAGTGGAGTGAAATCTCCACTCACAGTTTACATTATTTCTTGGATTTTAGATTTATTGGTGGCACTGTAATTTCTGACAGTGACAATGATAATTACATGGAATATTGTGCACTGTTTGATAGTTTTACTGAATGTTTTGAACATGAAATTAAAGGACAAGCACCCAATGGGGAAATATAAAGATGGGTGCAGCAAGTTACAAAGATGTCACACAGAATGAAGGAAGAACATGGGAAAAACTGAGAAGAGGTATGGAAGAGAGAGACATGTTTATCTACGGAGTGACACTGTCTTATGAGGATAAAGACTGCAGTATGTTAAAATTCACTGAATGTGGAAATGTTAAATAATATTAACACCTATTTGGAAAGTACTATTTATATTTCTCAAAAATATGGAATCCAAACCTGGCTAATTCTATTGGCAGAAATATGTTTTTATAAAAATTAAAATTTGTAAGAAGTGGTCACCTTAGTAGTTCAACTATAAAGTTTGGAATGGAACAGTCATTATTACTGTAGACTGTACATCACTTCGTCTGGACATTAAATTTTATTTATTTTCTGTTACTTATTAAGGCATGAAGATAAGCTGGAATTCTTAGTGACATAGAAAAAGGTTCATGTTAGTCAACATTTCTAAAAATCTGGTTTATTTATTTAGGTTAATTTTTTGAATTTACATTTGCATTAGCAAATCATGACTGCATATATCCCCACTTCTTGATACTTTGATTCTGATTGGTTAACTTTTTGCTTGCTTGTTGCAGGAAGCCCAATCATTTTGATATAGATTTTATAATAACAAGTCTTGCTGGATATAAAGAACTTGAGTATGTGTGTTATGATATAGGATGAGAATCCAGGGATAGTTGGCATAAGTGACTTTTCTTCTGTTCCGTGCATTAGAGAGAATTTTTTTTGAACCTCATAAGTACCATGCTGTCATTCAGGAGTCCATTTGATATGTATCAGTGTTCAGGCCTGACAAGAAACCCAACTTTCTGTTACAAGTATCAAGGAACTAAATGAACTAGCAAATTGACATCTTCCTATCCCACTGCATCTAGAGTAATATATTTGCCAAGTTTGGGTGCATACCTTTTAATACAGTGACCTACCATTCAAAGTTGGAATGCATTATTTGATTGAAGACTATGGGTTGAATTCAAGGGCTCCAAAATATTTAATTTCTTGCTATAAGTAGCCATCAACTGATTGAACCAGCAAATTTACATGTAGCCATCCCACTGTGTAAAAAATGTGTTTACTATGGAATTCAGATCCAACCTGGTACAGAGTAAGAACCAAGATAACTGAGTGACTTGGCATTTATTGTTTGAGTATGATGTTAAATTGGGGGCTGAAATTTGAGGTCAGGGGCTCCAGATTATGTCACATACCTCAGTGAATTAACTGTTGTAAACTGCTATGTGGACTTCAAATTCTTGCACATGTTCTACTAAATTTGGGTTAGGTAATGGGATTTGGTAGAAAAACCTATCATGTTGCTTTCAAACTCATTCTTCTTCTTTATGTTAAGTTTATCATAATTCTTTTCTCTTTTCTTCAGCAGAGTCCTCAGAATGAACATGAACTTAAGCATGGTGGGGGACATCCCTATTCCTGTGTTGTATGCAGTAAAACATTCTGTTGGCCAAGTGTTCTAAAGCAACATCAATGCACACATAGTGGAGAGCGTCCATATACCTGTAATGTGTGCAATAAGTCATTCTGACGGAATCAAGATTTGAAGATACATAAACATGTACATAGTGGTGAACGCCCATATTCCTGTGATGTATGCAGTAAAACATTCAGTGTGAATAGTAGTCTGAGGAGACATAAGAAAATACATAGCCCAGAACATCCATATCCCTGTGATGTATGTAACAAATCATTCAATCTGAGAGGTTATCTGAAAGAACATACACAGTGGAGAGCGTCCATATACCTGTAATGTGTGCAATAAGTCGTTCCGACGGAATCATGATTTGAAGATACATTAACGTGTACATAGTGGTGAGCGGCCGTATTCCTGTGACGTGTGTAATAAATCTTTTGCTTAGAAGAGTTGTGTGAAGAAACATCTTTTCTTACATCGATATCCTGTGATGTGTATGACAGATCATTCAGTCAGTGGAGTCATCTGAAGAGACATTAGAGCATGTAACATGGATAGTGTCCATGTTTCTGTGTGTGTATGTGCACTAAACAGAGTGATCACAAGAATCATTAATGTATGTATTGGTGTTTTTCCTATCATGTGTGTAATACGTCGTTTCATTGTCAGGGTACTCCGTGGAGACGTAATTATATACACAGCATCCGTATCATGTGATTTCTGCTTTGAGTTTCTGAACAAATGTCATCTTATACATAACTGATGTGTGTGTAAGAACATTTTCTGGAATTGGTGTAACGTGTTGCAAAAGAGGAAATGTACTATGAAAAAGTGGTAGAAATAAACAGATCTAAGAATTTCAGTAAAACTTGTCAACATTCACAGCCTAAGATCAGAAATTTATTAAGAAGTTTCATCCATTATTAAGTGGTTCTTATATCTGTCATAAAATGCAATCTAGTATCACTTCATGGACGGCTTTAACGAAATCGTTCTGAAAGACCGAAGATGTGCCCTTGAAAACAGTGGCTGTCTCTAACTGGTCACTCACAAGAAGATCATAATCTTCTAGCAGTTGCAAAGATTCTATATAGTTGCCTCTATCAAGGAGTGATTCAGATTGACAGTAACTTCTAAAAGGTAACAGATCTAAACATTTCTCCATTGTATTTCTCATTTTTTGAGAAGTTATGAGGTTAGGAGAGGCCCCGCAAATAGAAATATTTAGCCTTTCTTCAAGCAGCAAGCATGGCCATCTAGGCAGTTTTTTTTTAAGATTATTCCAAGCCATTAACCATGGGTAATGCAGCAAAACATATAAATTCCTGGAGTACATTTCTTTACTTGTAAGACTTGAGGTTCTCACAGCGGTGAGTATGAAGATATCCATCTTCTGGGTTATTGCGCTGTGTAGTCTGGTCGATGTTAACCAACGTTTCAGAGGTCATACTGCCTCCGTCATCAGGGCGATATTCATTGGTGGACATCTACCAGACTGCACTATGCAACAACCCATAAGACAGCAATCTTTGTAACAGCAGTTGCCATTTCACCTTTTGTCTAGCTTGAGTGTGACTGTTGGCCTCTCACACGCAGGAGGGAACATTTTCTTTTAGTGTGTTGGAGACAATAACGCTGAGTAGAATATTTACACCTACGAGAGAAGGAAATAGCAGAAAGATGGAGAGAATTGCATAGGTCTAGCGAGGAGTTTTAAAATTTGTATTATTAACCAAGCGTTTGCTGTTAGGGCGGTCACATCCAGAAAGATATGATGGAAAGTTTCACGTAGCTTTTTGTGACGTGGTACTAAATTATCAGGTTCCGCAAATGACGTGGTATTTTATAAACATCAAAGAAGTCTGAATATTATTTTTCCAAGGAATCTAATGCACGAATTTAAATGAAATTTTGCTTTCATTTCCATCGTTTGTGCTTTTCATTTAACAGGATTATTATCGCAGTTCGCAAGTCTTTTGTCTGTTTCATAGGTTATTTAACGACAATCTTTCAATTTCGAGGTTTGTAGGTTCTATGGTGAATCGGAAGGAACTGGGAAGAATTTGTGGTTTTATTTAGTACTTGTGGAGAGTCTAAGGAAACACACGGGTGATGCAAACAGGAAAGATATTTTTTATTTATATTTCTAAAAAAGGCAAGTAGGCCTATGTCACCCAGCTGTTTTGTCTCTGCTTTTGATTTTGGTGTGAAAAGTTGTTCTAAGAAAGAAGGCGAACGGGACGACGAGTACAGGTGACTCTCGTTATTCGCGCTTTCACTATCCGCGGGTTTATTTCAGTATCATGACGAGCATCAATATACCATACGCTGCCAAACTTTAAATCCTTTTATCTGCGTCAAACCTCCTTCATGCGTATCAAAGAATGGCATTCAGGAGATATGCTTACAATTTGAAACACTTTGCGAAACGTGCCCATGCAACTACAGAATGCCGATAATTAGTGTCCATTTTCATTAGGAACAAACGTTACAGAGAATATGAACCACTTTGACAAGATCATTACGGGAATTTTAACGTCTATTTCACATTCAAAGTGGAATAACAAATCGTAAGTTAACTTGTACCTGGGTAGCCCATTCGACTAGGTAAGTGATAAGAGATACTGAGTTTATCTGTAACAAACAACTGCATATCGCAAGAAGCGCAACATAAAATGACAGCTTTATCATATCTCCATGAAGATAAGTGTACGCCTATTTATAACTGCGCCCCAATCGAAAATACCAGAACCACTCACTCTACCAGATTGAGAAGAAGGGACTGCGTTTGTTTCACTTAAAGAGACATTTCCTCTTGTCGATTGCGAAAAAAGTATGTATATGCCGACCAACACACTTTCGAGACACGTAAGCCTAATTTAATTAATTAATAAGGAGAAACATGTCTGTTATCCTGGTGATATTTAAACTTTCAGGACGGGCTTACATTTAAATAATTTAAATGGCAGCGACTGTAGGAAAATCACTTATAGATTTCTTGTCACGCCACCAGCTTATCATTCATATCAGATAATTTGAAATGCTATTGTTTGCGACGTTAAATTACATGAACCAGTGCGTAAGAACCTGTAAGGCCTATCTATGTATTTTTGCAACGGAAAGTACTCTATGTTGAGACTGTTAAAACAAATATAAGAATGTTTCAAACTATTTTGCGTTATTCACACAGAGCTCACAGGCTGAACGCATATAAGGACGGTGCTGTCCGTACGATTCCATGTTTTATCTTCGTTAAGATTGAACGGGTATTTATGATGCGAAACTTTGAAGTTATATCTGGTCGGAAACTACTCCAGACACTGATCTCTGAATTTTTAATTTATACGCATTGCCTGCCTCATTCGGAGGAAAGTACGCGTCATTAAACAATGTTAGTGTATTGAGGCCAAAGTTAATTTTCAGGTATCTCTGTGTTCAGATACGTTATCATTTCTGGACTGCAGGCCAGACAGATGCAGTTAAATAAATTATACAACGATCTAGCTTATTTCAAAAGTTTTCTGTCTCTTAAATAGAGAATACTTTTTGTATTTGTTATCTAACCTATGTCTTAGAATATGCAATTGCCATTTTACTCGTATGTGACTGCCTAATAATTTTAGATATGTGAAAGCTAATAATTCTACAGTATCTGAAATCCAAATAGGCATGTAATAATTATTATTTAGTGTTCTGTCTGGCGACAGGTCCATATGAACAGGATCCTTCCATCCTTTTCTTGGACTGGGACCTGTTCATATACGTTCTTGGCAAATGATCCAGAAGTGGTTTGCCATTGCCTTCTTCTGTGTGTGAATGGAGTAATTGTTGGGATGCCACGGAGAAACCGGGGAAGCCCCCGGAGGAAAACTCCGTGTTGCCTAGACCACGGCCTTGCCCAACACAAGTTATAAATTCGGGCACCGCAGGGAATCGAACCCGAGACCCCAGGATTACAAGGCCAGCGTATTAGATAGCCTAAAAGCTTGGGGATAATAATTTTACTCCAAAAATAAATTAACATGTTACGAAATTCGACAAAGAGCCCTGATCATAACGATTCATGTGTCACAGTATGCAATTCAATGACGGACTCATGTGGACAGTGAAATAGATCCATATATTAAGTCGGAGGACGTCTTGACTAACTCTGCAAGAACGTCAAGAATATATATAATGTACTGAGTCGGTTTCATGAATCAGACAGGTATTAAAGTGGAGCGTTTTTCCCAAGTGAAATCACTTAAATGTGTTTTCTTCAACAAGGAGACCCCGGCCACGACCATGCACGACGGAGTTCTTCCCAAGTACAAGAAGAGATCTGGTTCAGTTGGACTGAAAGGAGAGTTGTACGGCATCAGACTGGCTTCGTTCCTCTTCGCGCGAGGTCTCAGCAAGACAGAGGAATTTCATCTGGCTTCAAACGTCGACGGCGCTGGGGCCCTCGATGACGTTGTTTTTAAGTACAGGTTGAAAGAACAAGATATTTATAAGACGTGTTTCATACAACTTAAACATAAGGAAAACAAAAATTATACAATTCAGCGCCAAAGCCTCATACAAATGTCTGGAGACTTCAGTTATTTCATATATTTTGAATCGTACTGTCAAATTAAACAGAACTTTTCTGCAGACAGTAATCTGAAACTGTGTGGTTCGTTTGTTGACTTCGAGTTTATAATTTACACTAATGCCAGGCTGAATAGCAAATGTATAGGTGGAGACGACAAAGACCCAGGGAGCATATTGAGTTCAGGGTCAAATGATGGGAAATATGTAACTTTCGATGAGGAAACTGATAATGATGTTTTCGACTTTTTTAAAGAACTATCACGTTATTATGCTTTTCTTTTAGATCTCAAAGATCTAATGAAAAGGGAAGCATTTACAGAATTTAAACAAAAGATAGAGATTAATAAAAGTAACTTTACAAACTGCGACATAAAAAAGAAGTTGGAAAAATTAAAATCTGAGCCGAGCAGTGATGACTTAGGAAAGCTGCTCGAAGAACTGGAGAGATGTGATTTTTCATTATACCCAGAATTCTTGCAGAAAGTAAAAATATTTCAATGTCAGGCAAATGAAAGTTCCTTCGTGGAATTAATTAAGAAAGAACTTCAGGAAGCTTGTCATACATCACCTTCAGGCACAAATTCCATTTACAAAGAGCTCGAAGAATGTGTGATGCGGTGGTGGATAAAAAGTGGTAATGTCGATTGGCTCAGTGAAAGTTGTCTTTTCTGGAAAAATATAAAACAGTGTTGGATTAAGAAAATAAATGAATTATCGAAAATAGACGTTCAAGAATCCAC